AGCGACTCCTCCCCCTCCCCCTCCCCCCCCCCCACACCCCTCCAAGAATAAAAGAAGAACCGGGAGGCGTGCTCGGAAAATAAATAAATAACTACCGCACGCGCGCGGCCCGGAGCGAGTCGGCGGGGCTGGCGGAGGAGGAGTGAAGGCGGCCGCGGCGGCGGAGGAGGAGGAGAAGAAGTAGCAGGAGGAGGAGGAGAAGCAGGAGGAGGAGGAGGAGGAGGGACGCGCCGGGAAGGCAGTAACTTTAAAGCCAGCTCCGAGCCCAGATCTCCGAGCCGATCGGTTTGCAGCGCGGCGGCGGCGGCGGCGTTGTGTGTCTGGCCCGCCGGTCCGGTCGGGGTGTGCAGTCGGACGGACGAGCAGCGCCTCGCTGTCCCCCTCCGGCGGCTGGAGATGTCCGAGCCTAAGGCAATTGATCCCAAGTTGTCGACGACCGACCGGGTGGTGAAAGGTAAGCGGAGCTCCGCGATCGCCCGGTGACCCGTGGGGAGGGAGGTGCGGTGGGAGGCGGCGGGGGGGGGTGCACGGGGTGCCGCAGGCGCCTCGCCTCCCCTCCCCCGCCCCGGCTGCTTCAGCCTCGGACCTTCGAGGATATTGTGCAACCCCCCCTCCCCCGCGACGCCCTTCCCTCCCTCCCCACGCCTCCCACTCCCACCCCACTTGGGGCATTTTTTTTTAATTGACGGGGGCGTCCGTTGGCAAATGGCTGAGCTGCGGAGCGGCGGCGGGGGTGGCGGTGGCGCGGGAGGGGGCGCCCGCCCGGGGAGGGGGTGGGTGGGTTGGATGGTTGCCGGCAGGGTGTAGCTGCTGTGACAGAAATAGGAAGTGGGTGGCTGCTCGCAGTCTTGCATGGCATCGGGTTTATGGGTTTCTTTTTGCAGGGAGAGAGAAGGAGGGGGGGGAGTTGATTTATGGCTTTGACTAACAATTAAGATGGCATGTTTAGGTGCCCGTGGCTTTCCCCGCGATCGCCTCGCCGGGGCCGGGTTCCGCAGCCTTCCCCTCCGCGCCCCCTCCTTCTCCCCTCCCCCTGGAAAGGGCCTGCACAGGACTCGCGAGAGAGCGGGAGAGCGTGGGGGTGGGGGGGGAGCCCGGCGTTTCCTTCCGCGCGGGGCGGGGGTGGTGGCCGCCGGCGGGAGGGTGGCCGCGGGGACGTGCGGGGGCTGCGGGGGGACGACCCTGGAAGCCCCCGCCCTACCGCCCCGGGATTCCCCCGGCCGGCCCGGGAGAAGGAGGCGGAAAGCTGCTCTCCAACCTTCCTCCCTCGCCTCCTCAGGGCCCCGTCCGCCGACGACCTGTCATTGCGCTTGAAGGGCTTCCCGGCTGGTGCACGCCTTCCCGGGGGAAGGAGCCTCGTGCCCCTCTCGGCCGCGCGGCTCCCAAAGGAGGCACCCCCTCCCTCCTTCCCCCTTTGATGGGGCTGTTCGATTCCTAGCCTTAGCTTCCCGGTCCTGGGATTCTGTACATGCATTCTGTCAGGGGTGATGTCTCCGGGTGGCTGGGATGCGTGGGGGTGAGGAAGGGGATACTCCGTGATCCCCTGTGCTGCCCAGCCGTGTGTGTGTGGGGGGGTGGGGGGTGGGAATCCCTCTCTCTTCACTGTATTCCACCTTGGAAGCGTGAGGCAGCAGAGCAGATCCTTCGGGATTAAGTAGTATCCCTTGTTCTTGGGGTCAGGACACTGATCAAAGCAGGGATGGACACTGGCTGGGTGCAGAGCGGGCCTCTGAAATTGGAAGCAGTCCTGGTGTGTGTGTGTGTGTGTGTGTGTGTGTGTTTGTGTGTGTCAGACAGAACAGAGGTGGTATCTAATGTGGCTAGTGCATGCAACTAGAGTGCTAGGCAATAAAGTCATTTGCTTCATGGCCACTTAAGTGAAATCATAGAGCAGTCCTAGACGACGGTGCTTGATTCCTGAGTATCACAAAGCATCTTTGGCTTCTTTCAGGTTTGCTCAGTCTTTTAAGGTGTGTGTGTGTGTGTGTGTGTGTGTGTGCACGCGCGGGTACGTGCCTGTGTAGTGGTCATGGCGGGGAAACCTGTATTTACTTTTTATGAGAAAAAAATAAAATACCTTCCTTTGTTTCGGTTATTTTGAAATAATTCCCGCTTAGTACAGGATTCAAAGACCCATCAACATAAGGAGGAAATAGCCCTGCAAAAACGATTGGAAATTGGATTACAAATAGATGCACTGTTTTTTTTTTTCTGCAGGCATGGATCCTTATGTCAGCAGTCAATTAAACTTCATTCCAAAAAAACTGTTTCATATTAAAGGTTTCTGTTGACATTAAAAAATTCTTTTTGCCTGAAATATCTGACAATGACCAGTAACCTTGATGTGTGAAGTTTATGAGTAGCTCCAATCTGTGAATTAGGATCATTTATTTTCAAAACAAGGTAAAGTTTAGAGTTCAGTTGATGCCAGTGAGTCTGCTGGCAATTAGAAAAACATGTGCACACTTAAGGTCACATCCTCTGTTTTAAATTACAAAATGTGGATTCTTAGTGTAAATGTAGATTTATATTGTCATCAAGTGAACAATGTAAAAATAATTGTTTATACGATATGCATTAGTGTCTACTAGCTAATGTGGAAGAGTCCATTTAGCTATTCCATAGCTATTTTGCTTTGCTTTGTTCCAGAGCTGAATTGTTCTAAATGCCTTTTCATTATAACTGCATGTTCACATCCATAATTCCAAAATTTTGATATACATATTTTTTCAGAAGTAAAATAAAAATGTGAGTAACAGATGCAAAATAGGAAAAGTTAATCTAGTCCTAATTTGTTTTGATAGGGATCCTGATGGAAAATTTTCTTTATAGAAAAAAAGTTTTACTGGTGAATCCTGATTTTGAGGTGAGCATGCTGCTGCATTTCTCTTATGCTTTCTTGTAGATTTGACATTTTGTCATATAAAAGATTTTTAAGATCAGTTTTTAAAAAATGATTATTTTGATCCCTTTGAATATGTATGCACATGCTTAGTACAAAGTGCATGCTGAATGGAAAGAAATTATCAAATTATTTTTTCTATTTGCAAAAATATATAGCGCATAGTTCATTAAACCATTATGTCAAATTTGTTCCAACTTCATCTCAACTGTCATTTTTTAACTCATTCTTTAACACAGCAAAGAGAGTATCCTTCAGGAAATACTTGTTCTCCTTAAGTCTTTTGTCTTCTTACAAAGTATATACTATTTACGTGTATATAGTAAACAGAACTATAAGTAATATTCAAGTCATTGTTGCTTTAGCATGCCATGGAATTTTTTAAAGTTATCATCATTACTATCATCATTATCTTTTGTTGTATAACATATTGCTCTTTACAAATGGAGTCATGCTTCTGGTTTTATTTGTAGTAGTCCGGTTACAACTCTTGATATGTAATTCTAGAATGCAACTTTTTAGGAAGGTAGAGTCAATTCGAGTTTTAACTCTATTATTTTTGAGGGTTGTAGAATCTGCCCCAGCGTGAGCAGAGACCTGATCCATTTTCTAAATCTGAGAATTGAAAGATAATGATGGCAGTGGAGATGAAAGCACTTATTTAGATTATCTTTAAAAAGCTACTTTAGTTAGCAAAACTGGTGCTGCTTCATTTTGACCATTAGATAAAACAAAATATAAGAAAGTAAAGAAAACATCTTGATATTCCGTTTGTTGAAAGTCAGAATAATTTGCTCCATTTACTATATGACTTTGTTTTTAAAGACATATAAAGGATATTGTATAAGGGAAGAGACAGAGGGCAACTCATGGAGGAGTAACTCTGGCCCCCACCCGCCAGCATACACTGTGACTTGGTTTTCTCTGCAGTGGTACTCCACAGGCTTGATGCAAACAGGACTTCATTTCTCTATTCCTGCTCCTGCCTGCAATGCTTGCCTGGACCTAACATTCTCTTTTGGCCATAGACCTTTGCTCTGACAGTTAAAAACACATGGAGGAAATTAAACTGTGTGTGATGATGAGTGTGATGTTATTCCATCTCTGAACCTTATTTTGTAACAGGTCTTTTACTTTAACCCAAATGTTAGTGGAAGAAATTTTAGATACTTTAGCAGGTGGTCGAGGGGTAAATTCCTGGAAAGAATTTTAGGAAATCTAAGTAATGGAGAATGAGCTGTTTTTCCATGTATGCCTAAGAATATTTTGGTGATACAGTTCAGTTCATACTAACAAGAAGTTGGAAGTAAAGTATACTATTAAGTAAATGATTCATGTCATTAATGTTCAAGTTAAGATAGACTAATTTTACTTAAAAGGAAACAAGAATATGGCACATCAGTAATGACCTGTTGTGGTTAGATCTTGAGAGAGAATAGAAAAATTCCATTTCGAACCTAAAGGACTCCTTGTGAATTTATTTCACTGTTGTTTTGATGCTACAAGTTGGTTGTTTCCATGCTCCTCATTTTCCACTTAAGAATTATAAGATCATTAATGCAGTGTCATTAATTTAGATTTATTATGATTAAGCATCAGTGTTTGGTGGGTAGCATTTATATCAATACTGAATGTGAAGAATGGGGTCTGCTAATATAATGAATTTGACAGATGATAGAGTTGCGTCATGGATAAAGTACTTAGAACAAATCATTTTCAGAACTTAGTGAACAGCATGCAAATTCATCCTGTTAATTATAAACTAAGATGATCTGGATTATCTAGTAAAAGTTCCTTTCTGGACTTCTGTAAGTATATATAACACAAATTCAGAATTTTGAAGGCAGCTGAGTCATGAGATGTGGGGAAACTCCAGTGGTCTTAGAATCACTTAAAAATAGTTTTCTTTTAAGTATGGGAAAGAACCTTACTTTAAATAGACATTTTTATGTCACCTAGTTAAAATGTGAAAAGTAGACACTGTAGAGTCTAGTTACTGAGGTTTATGCTAACACTTAAGTTAGTGAGATTATGTGTTTTGAAGTTGATTTGTTTATTTTCTGTTTTAAGATTTAATTATATTTTGCATGTATAACTTAAGTTGTCCTCTTATGATTTCCCTTATCTTTTTGTGTCAGCCCTGTGTAAAATGGAAATTAATTATGAAACCAAATAAAGAATCTATTTAGACTGACCTCATTGGAAAATGGTGTTTTTGCAGAGATAGTCTCTGCTTAGCAAATCTAATTAAATTAACTTTTTGAACAAGTTGTGAAAATGTACCTTCAGAATTATGAAGAAAAGTGATGATTCATGATATGGAATTTCAATAATTGTGAAAAATTGTATTGTAAAATTTCAGTGACTTTGTAGTGTAGCAGTCTTTTGATATTCAGGAAGAGATGCTGAGATCTTGAATTCCCACTTCTGTAATTTTAGCTTTCAGATTACAACTTTCAGGGTATATTTCCCTCACTACTTACTCTTAAGGACCAGAGGATCATCAGATGGAACATGGGAGGTTAGGTGGTTACACTTGGTCTTTTCCAGTG